ATCTGTCGTCAATAATGTTCAGCAACTGAATCAAGTCAATTGTTTTCAAACCGTGATATCAGTTTTAAAATTTTCAAATAAAATAATAACTATCAACGTTATTATTTTATTTGAATTATTATTATTTTATTTAAATTCATTGTTATCAATATAACAATGAATTTATTAGTTCATCATAAAAAAAAATTAAAATTATAAAAATGTTTTTATAATTACATTTTTGACGGAATTTTATTTTTTACAAATAGCTCCTTTATTTATTTTAGTTTGATATTGTTCAACAACAGTTATTTAATTGTATTGTCGATTTCGTAAAATTGCTGACAGTTGTTTTGATCAGAATCTTTCAGTTCAAGAAAGTTTCTTAGAATATGAAGTGCGTTTCTGGGATTCGATTGATGAGAGGATGTAATCACTTTTTCCGTATCACTTTTGTTGTCAGTTTCTGCAATTCTCTTAACACACTTCTTTGTCAAATTTGATACACGTTGTCTCAACGTTCGTGCAAATTGACACATCCTTTAAAAACAAATTCTTGTAAATTTATCTAGATTACTAACTAGATATTTATCTAGATTTCTATCTAGATTACTAACATCCGAAACTCTAAAACATTAGCTATAGTTTGAAATTCCTCTGTGACTTCCATATAAAAGCCACATTTTCGAAAACAACTTTAACTTATTTTAAGAGATTATTACATGCACTGACTATATATAATATGCATGGTTCTAGCTAATATGTCGACTTACTTTTCTCTTTCATAGCGCTTGCATTTTCGCAAAATTCATTACTGTTCATCATTTACTGAATATCTTTTTTGAAATGATATTTGAAAGCTTTTATAAGATCCCAAAATTAAAGGATGAATATTTTAATCTGTGGCTCAAGTCTTTCCGCTTGACATTCCGATATGCAACAAGTTAAGCATACAACAAATTTTAAAAATGTTCTTCAAGAAATTTATTCAAATTTAAAAAAAAAAAAAAAGAAGAAATTTACGTTTCTACTCAATTTTTCCCTTTTTCTGTTTAAGTTGATCTGCCATTTCATGATTACATATATGATCAATGCTTCCCTTGCTTTTTCTTGGTCTTCCATTACTAGTTTTTTTCAATTTTCATAGATTTTTAATTCTTTTGCATCCTTAAAGGCAAAAATCTGCTTCTCTCAATCATTTGAAACGCTTGCAAATATGAATTGTTTTTGAAATGCATTTCCTTCCCGCATGCCAAATAGAATGCTACAGAGTTAACAATAACCTACTTCAATGAAGCGATTACTTCTCTCTTTGGCTCTTTGTGCGGTTTAACCTACTGTCTGCAGTTTTCCTTTAGGACAGGATTGCAAATGCGAGTATCAATAGGTGAACGTTGACGTTGAACAAATGCGATGTCTTTCAAATAACAGAGCTATTTTTACTTTCTTCAAAAGAAATATTGATTTAACGACTCCCGAAAATTATGAGCTATGCGCTAACGTAATGGGGGGAACGCATGAGGTAGAAAATGGATTCAGGTGTTCGAGCAAACTCCGATGTTTGAGTGCTCAGCCGTTTCGGGCGACTTCTCTATGAAAGAGTTAATGTACGGTAATGTTTAGAAGTGTTTCATGAGCTTTCATTATGATTCTCTGTGTGAGTAATGTGTGTCTATAGAGAAGATTTTGAAAGTAAAAACATTAGATAAATAGGCAATAGAAGTTACACTTCCATCTGATATCACCTGGTGTTGGAGTAAGAATTCTAATTCATTTACACTATCTCTACAGGATTGTGTTTGTGAACCTCAAGATACGGACATTTTGCTACTCTGAAATTCACCGCTGGCAAAGAATTCTTAACCTTTTGATGTCGGGGCTTTGGTAGCGGTAAAAACGACCAAAGGACGGGGAATCTTGAACCGAATGCTTCACCCCCCCTTTAAGAAATCACCTTCTATTTTCAGCAAAGGTTCTTGTGTGTAGTTTAATGGATTCTCTGAGGGGTGCATCTATGTCGCAAAAAGAAGACCTTTGAAAGAGATAAGTGGTTAAAACCCTAGGGACGTCAAATTTGACATTTCACCCCACTTTTGAGCCAGGAAAATGGGGGAAAAAGACGTGGCCACTAAAGTGGACAGCCCCGTCTTTTCAAAGAGAGGACTGTATGGCCACTGTAATGGCCATCCCGTCTTCAAAAGGTTAAAACGGTGTCGTATAGGTACAAGGACCGCAGGCGCAAAAATATTCAGTTAAAGCCCCATTTTATAGAATCACTGTACTACATACCTAAATAATAACGCCACTGTCCACAATACATTAATTGGATGAACTACGAAAAGCTTTGATACGAGCAAATAGGAACTTTGTTACTAAAGAATCTTTTTTGTCAATTGGGAGTTCCATAAGCGGCGGAGATGAGTTACTGCTTTTTTTTTTCTGTTGTGCTTGCTTTGGTTCCTGGAAATTTTAACGTAATAAGCAGATGAGTTTAAGCCGCGCGTACTATATTATAAAAGTGTTAAATTTACCTGAGAAATATCAAATATACTGAGCATTATTCGATCTCTGGAAATCAAGGCGCCAATTTTATTCCCAAGAAGAAGTGCGGGTAAGCCTAAGCTTTATTACTGAGACGTTCATGCAAATTTATGTAAATTAAAAGAAGAAGCAGGTTCTTATTTCGCCTCTGCAGACGCAAAATCTCATGGAATTTTGCAAATGAACTTTTCTTTTGCACAAAATTCTTATTTAATAGTCTATTACATAAATATATTATACAAACAACCTCTTATTAGGATATATATCAATATTCTTATTTAATAGGGGTATAAACGAATTACCTCGTATGATATTCTAAAAAGAATTTCATAAATATGATAACTATACATTTGTAGTTCTAACGTTCTATAAGATTGGTCTACTGATATTCTCATAGAAATGAATATCTCTTTGTTGCCCTTGAAGAAAGAAATCTCGATTGGAAATGAAAAACCAGTAGTTCCTTGTTCTGTACTAGAATGCATTATTTCGATTAAGAGATAATATTTACAATTCATGCGTATAATATATTAGCGAAGGAAAACAGCAGCTGGTTAATTGTTTTTGTTTGATGTTTGTTGTGTTCGTATTTGATAAGCTTATACTATAAAGGAAAACTTGTTAGGACGTTTTTAATTCAATGTTTACGAGATATGAAAGTGGTGCATATTAAAGTAACATTACTTTTTCATTCAATCATCCGCAATAGCCAAGGATGCGTAGGTATTTTATAAATATTTACTATGTATTGGGACATATTGAAAGATGTATTCTTTAGCTTGCTTATTTGTTAGCTTGTTTAGCTTGCTTGCTTGGAAAGGAGCTTATTGTTAATCTTGCTGTCTGTCTTAGCATGTTGTTTTAAATAATTAGTTTAGTTCAATTGTTAATTGATTTTTTTTTCTCGTGGGGGAAGGCTTTATTTTGTTTCAGCTAAAATAAGTCCGGTGTTCTTCATATGACCTTTTCTAGGATGGCCAAAATCCTGTAGGGTGTGTTGAAGTGAAGAAGGTTCATCCCATAAACACGGACTGCCCAAGAATTAACTATATGGAGAAAAAGTTTCTGAACTATTTCAATCCTCTGAGCGTTACCGGTTTAGCCCTGAAATTTTAAAGTTCCTCAAAGTGGCATGGGTAAATGGTAATTTCTTTATTATAATAAAAAAAGGACTGACCATTGTAATTTCTTTCAATATATATCCATTGTACCTTGACTCTTTTTCTTTCAATATATATCCAACACGAAATCGGTTACATTAAAAGATGCAGAAATTTTTATGTGTAATGAATAAGAAAGCTATCCTTTTATATGGAATTTCACGTCCAAAACGTTGAGAGGGTACTGCGCATGTGATTCATTTCTATCTCTCGAAATAATGAAATAAGTTGCATTCATTTAACAAAGGGCAGTTTTCTTCTACCATGAGTTTTAGTAGTTTTACATGTAAAACAGTTCAAACAGGGAATCGCAGTTTAAGAAGATGATTTAGATGGATCTGTGATGTAAGTTTTCCAGGACAGAGCTTTTATTCTACATGATAAATTAACTAGATTATCACATTATGATGACCAGGACATTATTATGTCTGTAGACCTGGAAGATTCAAGAATCGGGACTTTTGCAAGGCGTTTTAAAACTGAAATACTGACTACTCACAAGTGGGTCGAAATCGAATGTAGAGGTTTTCTTCCTGCAACGAGGAATATTTTAGCAAATGATCTCTGTTCATCTCAAAATTCTGGTTGTGCAAACTACACAAGGGGCTATCATATATATCATTGCTGTACAAATGTTTAGGGAGAGAATCACGTCCGGTCTTTAAACGAAACGCCGCAACTGCGATAGATCTAGACTAGAGACGGACTAGAGAGTTTATGTAGTTGACCTCCAGAGACTAACAGTAATAACAATTACTATTATTACTATTATTATTAATAATATTTTATGTACCCATTTGTTTTTCCCTTTCCCAGTTTTGATGTAGTTATTGTTATTGTAATGAGGTTAATTATTGCCCTGTCTTTTTGTATTGCTATTTTTTCCCTACTCCAATCTCATGCATCATTGATACATGGGTGCCAATGATGTATAATCAAGTGCCTTTGCAATAAAAAAGGATTTAAGTTTTAATTGTAATAAATAAATTACTTCTAGGTATCTAAATTCTAGGTATACCTAATTTTTATAACTAAATTTTTATATAAATGATTAAGTCTATTGGAAAAATGTTCCTTTTCTGTTATTATATTAAGTGCTTTTTTCAGTTGTTTTTCATTCTAAGAAAATATGAAAAAGCCATTTCTAGATACAGTAAAATTTTACTTACGAAGACAAAATAAAATGAAATTTTATTTTTTTTCTTGTATTCAGAGTATTTATCTGGCAAATTATTTTTTATGTCATTGTATTGACTGATCCATCCAAGTTAAGAGGTTTTAGTGGTAATTTATTAGATATCAAAATAAAAAGACACAACATTAAATGGAGCTAATCTTTTATTTTTTGTTCCAGCTAAACGTTCACTATGATTCAACCAAAACATTTTGGTACAGAGATAAAACGTGTAGCTGCTAAAAGTTTACATAACAATCCGTTGGCGCATGCCAGACGTAAATTCTGTCAAATAACTATAAACACAAAAAGAAAAACAATGACTGTAACAAATTATTTAGTGGCATATCACAGAAAATTTTTTATAAATAATCCTCTTCTTTGATTGCTAATCATTCTATGCGCCTCCATCATTTTCATATAAGAGAAAAGAATAAATGCTTTCATTTGCAATTGATTACATTGTAAGTGCAAGAAATATAATTGTAAATATCAGGATTAATACAGAAAACCATATTCAAAACAACAACACAAAAATTTGCCCAAGCCTTCTTTGATAAAGGTTACACTTCAATGTTTCTGTAAAGTAAGCTGATGAATGTTTTGTTAATAATCTAGCACTTGCATTAAGTCAGAATGTTATTTGGATTTTTATATGCAAAATTAATAGTGTATATTTCTTTACTATTTACTAAAATGGAAATTGTACTTTGAATAATGATTGTAATGATGGAAAATTAATTATGAGTAAATATTTAAGCACAGTTATCTTTCGTATTTGCCTTTGTAAAATGCTACCTTACGAAAGTAAAGATACTTTCCTCAAATAGCATTGTTAACGTTCAACTTTGGAATTCTGGGTTTGAATTTTCACTTTAGCTTCTCCTGTAATTTTTTTTTATATAAAAGTAGGATATCTATATTTTAAATCAGTTCTATATTATATATAAAGTTCTATATAATGTTTTATATTTTAAATCAAAATAAATGTTTCCTTGAAGAAACATTTTCACCAGATTCATTTTCTACAGAAATTGACTCCAGATTAAATAAGACATACCTATAAAGGCTTGAAAGTAATAATTCAATTAATCAAACTTTCTTCTCAGAATGGAGATATAAAATTTAATTTTGGAATTATAGACACGGTTGCACAGTAATATTTACAAGAATTATTAGTTTCTTTCAACAAACTAATCACCGTAAACAAAATTTATCATATCTATCAAACTTGTGCCTTTGTTTGGCTGTTGGAAAGGTTCTGTTTCTCATATTCGAATATTACAAAGAATCTTGGGTATCTTGTTTAGAGTTTTTTAACTTATTAAGCCATTTTGTCCCTCAATTGACAACCGTTTTAATTCTGACCCAGCGGATAAAGATGGAAATAAAAGTATATTTCATATTTTTCGTGTTAGCAATTATAATTTCAATACTCGTTAGGTTTATATTCACATTTTAATTATATCGTTAATTATAAGAAATGTATAAATGGATAAAAATTTAAAAAAACAGTTAAATAGAAGTTTTAATCAGTTTTGAAATTTAAATCACAAAAAACAAAATGCGGTACTTTAGCGAAAAAAGGAAAAAACAAACAAGCAAACGAAACATTTTTATGGGAAAAAAAGAACAGTTTATTATTTTACTCTAAGAAAAAGTATTGATGATTTACTTTTTGATTTGCTTCCTTTGAACTCTGAGCAAATTGTATTTGAGCCATTAATAGCTCAACTATCTCTGTATTATTTAGTATATTTTATGAACTATTTAACAGTATCCTGAATTGTTGAACTTAAAATCTGAATTAATAAATTTAATAATTACATTCATTCTTTTGAAAATTGTCAATAAAGAAAATATTCTGTATATTAGTAGAATAACTACTGTTTTTGGCTTTAAGTAGTAATCATTTACTTTCTCCTTTAATGTGCTTATAAATACCCAATTTATGTTGATTGCTATTTTTCCAATTCAAAAGAGATTCAATGAGATAATTTCAGTTTACAAATTAATTTAGGAGAAATTCTTACTTTTATTAATCAAAACCTTAAAATGAAATGGAAATGCTCTCCTTGACATTTTTCTCTCTGTTTGTTCAATCTAAATGGAAATAACTTCAGGATTGTTGATATATATTCTAATCGGTTCTAGAAATTCGCATGATGTGAACAAATTCTGTGATGAACACGAATTCATTTGAAATAAGATTAAATCGATGTTTGAGAACTCAATTTAAATCGATATATAAAATGCGCTAATTATTTAAATAAATTACTTAAGATGCATTGTTATTTAAATTGTGTAAAAATTACGAGCCATGGGCAAATCTTTGTGAGAATCAAAATAAAATTAATATGATATGCATTTCATAATCCAAAGTGCCTTGTTACGTATAAAAATGAAAATATATAATAATCTGATTTCAGCGGAATGACAGAATATAAACGCATTAATAATAAGACAAGAATTCGACTCCTTCTATTCCTTTCTTATTATTAAACCCAATATTCTTAAAACCGGTGAAAAACATCTGGTTAGTATAAAATATCATAAGACATAAAAGTTACTTAAAATTATTAATTTTAACTCAGCCGAAAGTTTGCATAAAAGACTGTTTTCTCAACGACAGAAGTATATATATAAATATATGTATGTTTGTGTAATTTCGAATATGTTTACTGCAGCATAATATAAAGATTCATATTTAGACGTTACATTACGACTTTAGCATGATTCTTAATGCCCATGTATGTTACTTTGGTGTGCTGGATTTATCTACAAATAGCCTTTCTCTACTTTCCAGAATAACATTTGAAAATATGCGCAAAATGATTGCTATGCATAATGTGAACTATAGAAAGTAATTCACTGTTACTTAATTAATGTTACTTAATTTGCATCTCATTTAAAGAGTAGCTCTTGCTAATTTTTCCTATTTCGTTCTAGAATAAATCAGCGTAAAACTTTTAATAGGTTTTTCTGTACATGTAGATTGTTTTGTGTGCGTATGTGCGCTGTAATATCGATCTGGATATGCACTCTTTATTTTTAGCAATACAATGAATAGCAAAAAAGAAATAAAACCATTAAAAACGAGTATAAGGATTGGACACAAGTTTTGTAATTACTACACAAGTTACGTAAGTACAATTTTAGTTTTCACTGGCAAAATTGGATTACAAAGAACATACCTCTAACAGAATATTCGAAACACTATTTTGTGAGGATTCAAAGCACGCGAGTGTATCTTTATTTGAGCAAAGGGAGTGAGTCATTTGATAGCAGTATCTCATCAGGTAGAGTTTAAAAATATATACTTGGTTTGTTAAAAAATTTATTCCTTCAAATGTGGAGAGAGCCGATTTTCTTTCCAAGAAACCGGCAAAGATACTTTTTCGCAGTTAAGCTTATTAGAATTTTTGTTTCACGTATCACCAAGTACGAAGAGTTAACTATAACCGTCCAAGTACTATGTCTAATGATGTTAAAAAGTTAAATATGGTACAGTTTTGATTTGAACAAGCTGAGTATAAAATGCTTACTATATAGAGCATGTATTTCATTATAGTTTTGTTTGAAATATGTGTTTATATATGGCCCTAATTCATAGCTCTAAAGATACTTATATATATAGTTATACAGACAGTAGAAAATAAGGCTTGAAGTTTGGCCCTGTTGTGCTTTTTTCAGGGTATCATAGAAAAGTGTGAATAAAGGAATTTCATTGAAAATATATTAGGTAACTGAGCTTTCAGAGACTCTTTACAATCAACAGTATGTCTTCCCTTCACGTAGTACTAAATGACTTTGAATTCGAAACTTCTACGTTTCCGGGGCTCAAAATAAGTTGTGATGATAGGCAGAAGAAGTAATATATTTCTTCTTTAGCAGATTCCTGAAAACAATTAAGATTCAGTAAACGAGCTTAATCGAGCTTCTTTAAAAATGTTAAAAAAGATTTAATATCTTGACATGCAAGGCATTTCAAATCAAAATTATTTTCTATTTTTGGTCAACGAAATTCCTACATCTTTAGCATCTAATGAGGTTAAATCAGTTCATAAATGCCACTGTATCATTTCAGTTTGTTTTTACTATCCTTCTGAAGCTTTGCATGAGATATAGGAGAAATTATTAATATAATTAGAAAAATTGTCGGGTTGATATGATATTAGACATTTTCATGTACTTTGAAATTTAATGTTATGGCAACATGACAGAATTTCAGAGTGAAATAGTAAGCAAATATATATAAGGTAATCGATTTCTAAAGGCAGGAAAACTGAGATTAAAATCTTTAAGCATTGGTAAGGATTATTTTCTTTTCATTTCATAGTCTTAAAATTTCATTTCATTCACATCCTTAAGTTGTAGCTCTTTGCTTTCAAACTCTCTTTTAAAGATAAATCACATTGATTAGTTAATATAACTAAATGCATAAAATTCAATGCCAATTTCTTTTATAATCATTGCAAAACAATATGACCTTGCCAACACTTCCGCGGTGTAGTGTTATACTCAAAATCTGTTTCCGTACATAGCAACGTTTCAAAAATTGCATTATTAATGTAAAGTTTTGTTTTTTAAGAAAGCAAAGTTTACCTTTTTCTTGAACGTCTAAGCATTGAATCGAGTATAATAAATGCGTGGATAGATTTCAATGTCGTGCGTGGATAGATTGCTTATCTTATAATATTAAGCATTTCATAAAATAGGGATATTGAGGAACGTCATATACTGAATATATTAGAATGGTATTCAATATTTCATTTACTTTATCTTCTCAAGCAAACTGAAATAAGAAAAATTATTAAAAAGAGATTATTTTATTAATTCAGAAAAGCGGTTTGATATATACCTTTCTTGAAACGGCAATTTGGAAACTTTTACCAGACAATATTTTTCGATTCTTTAATTGGTTCTCGAAAATTTAGCTTAACCTTGTTCAATGGAAAATATCTGGCGGAGTTAGTTCCATTTTAAGTTTTAGAACTTTCAGCGTAAGCCTTCGTTGTCTTGTTTTAAGACAGTTAGATTCTTAAACTGAGCACAAGATTTGAAATAAGTTAGGAAAAATGTTACTTATAATGCAGCTACAATTTTAAGTAACTGACTCACTTCAGCTACGCTTAAACTGGGCATAGTAAAATAATTAACGAATTTACATACATCCTCACCTTTATTACTAACTTCGGTACACGTATCAAATCAATTTAAGGAAATTAAAATACGTTCTGGACAATGTAAATTTCTGTCTGTATCGTATGAAGTATCGTAATCGAACGATGGCTGAAACTTTACTTTTAAAAATTTCATTTTTATTTAATGAAATGTGATTACAGTATAATAATAATTTAAACTATTAGTACGAAAGTCCGTTAATAATTTTCAAAAGAATCTCGTTAAAATCATTTCCTTTTGTAATGATTTCACATCTGATTTTAAAGAGTATTTGTTTTAAAATTTAACACTTATTTTCATCAGTACCAAATAACTCCACATTATTTAGATGGGTATTCATTTATTTTCACCTTTATCTTCTTTAATATTTTCTTGTGTACACATATTTTTCATGCTTAGTTAAAAAGAATATAATATGTGATTGATAATAAATACAGTCAAAGATGTTAGCTTCCCTTTGCAGTGCTAAATATAAATAGTGATTTTCCGAAAGAAAAGTGAACAGTTCTGCTAATCTTATAGTTATTTTGCTTGGGATGTGAAGACTAAATGGCTAGCGATTGAAGAGTCAGAAATTAAAAGCCGTAAGAATTGCTCACGATTCAATTTCAGGAAGTTGCTTCACGTGAACTATTCCTTCCATTCTTCCTTCAAATGTTACCAGTCGGTATGAATTGCTTGATGAGTATTTATTACTACTTGATATGTACAGCGGACAACATTTTTTTTCATACTAAATTAATAAGCTCCTCTTAAAAGTATTGGCAATAGATGTGGCTTGCATATTAGCAGGTCATCAACAACAACACTTTTAATTATATTTCACAGTAACGTACAATAAATAATTTACATATTCAAAACAACGTTTAGCGCTTCATTGTAAGTTTCGCGATCAGTTTCCAGATTTGTTTTCGAAGAGGACTTCATGAAAAATGGCTTTGAATTCGAAACTTCTACGTTTCCGGGGCTCAAAATAAGTTGTGATGATAGGCAGAAGAAGTAATGTATTTCTTCTTTAGCAGATTCCTGAAAACAATTAAGATTCAGTAAACGAGCTTAATCGAGCTTCTTTAAAAATGTTAAAAAAGATTTAATATCTTGACATGCAAGGCATTTCAAATCAAAATTATTGTTGGCAAATTATTAGAATCAAAGCATAGGACGTTAGTCCGGCTGTTCTATCGGGTTTTGGAACTGTTTTTATCTCCTGCTTACCATCACTGTGATCTATAAACATGCGATATTTTGACACGTGATATCCAGTCACATGACGTCAATCGCAACTGATATTCCTATACATGCCTTATGCTTGTAGAAGCTCAGCTTCCAACAAGTGAGTCCATAATGGCCAAATTCAAAGCTGCATTTTCTTTCCGTAGATCGTGTTTTTGAAGTACAAATAAATCTGCAAAGAAAATTTGAATGGCCAAATTTCACTGTACTATCGAAAATTTCAATGCTTCGTTTTAAATCATTTACAACCTCTCCAGTATTCTTATATGTAGTCAGCATTAAATATGTTTCTATATTTTGTAAAAGGACACAGTTACCCTACCTTTGATTATATTTGTCTAAAATCAGTTCCAATCTGCATGCTAAAATCAGTAGCCTTTTCGTGTAAAACTTAAATAGGTTTCAAATTTTGGTATTTAAGGTGTAAGTACTGACGATGAAAACACGCCACGGTTTCTCAAGAGAAAACGACTCTGGTAAATGGAATGCGAAACTCTTTGGCTTTAAAAAATATGACAAAAAATACAGTAACAGAAAAAATATTCAGATACATAGACAAGATTTTTAAACCAAATCGCCCATAGCAGTTTCTTTGCTGAATCTACGTTACATTTTGCCATTTGCAGATTCCAATTTGTAACACAGTCTTTCCTTTTCGCATTCTTCTTGAAAACAAACAAAAACATAAAAATTCCAGTTCCGATACTTTCCATCCTTCCTGAGCTTTAAGAAGGGCCACTTTGAACTTTCCGAGTATCTGTTTCTGTCTCAGATGCCGATGGAATCCAAGAACCCACCCTTTTTGGTCTTGGGGGGCAGGGGAGGCTCCTTTGGTTTCTTTCCGATGCCTTTGGGAGGCAAAGGGGGCTTCATCCTAGGATCCGGGATTTTTCCCGCTTTTACATCATCATACAAGTCCGCATATACCATTTCATCACTGCTGTCCGGTTTGTAGGGCTGTAAAAGAGAGGAAACATTTTAGAATATTTAAGGAAAATTCACTTCACTTTTACTTCGTACGCTTCGTATTAAGAAATTTATTTTAACGCTATCATTTATTATAAAAATATGCATTAAAAGAATTTGTTATGGAAGAAACTTAATACCTCTGGCGACAGCATTTAAATTACTAATAAATGTTGGAAGGTCTAAGAGATACTGAAAACGAGGAATACGTAAAATCACCTCTATGATATATTTACACGATATTTGTAATGGGAATTTATTATCCTTAATTGAGTTTTAGACTATTTAAAAACAAGAAATATTAATAAGAATTCTTCACTATTTACATTACCCATCCAAAAAGAAAGAACTGTCTTCGAAATAATAAATTTAAAATTACAATAGAAATTACACATTGGCCGTTATAATGCATCTATCAGCTACTTATCACAGTAATTTAAACTATCATACTATATATAAATATCGTGGCAAAAACATCGCAGGCGAAACATTGAAGAGAAAACCACGCAACGCAACGCGAAAACGTCATCATACAAAATATGTAAGGATAAAACATCTCAGTTCTAAAACATCGTTGTACAAAACATCGTCATAGGAAAAAAAGACTCAAAAACTTCGCAATTTAAAAATACATCGTCGTCGAAAATACCGTCGCAAAAAATAAAGCACTACAAATCATCGCGTGACGAAACATCGCAGACATGTGTTTTTCAGGCTTTAAATGTTATAAAATGCATATTCGCATAATGGTTTGTGAGCGCAAAAAGGACATGACATTTAATAAATAAAGGCAACACACAAAACGTTAAAAAATGCCGTTTTGGGCGTAATATAAAATCTGAAAGCTTTCAGAATTTTTTTTTCACTTTTATATTTTTGAATTGAATAACAAATTTTTGTTGAAAAATTCAGAAGGAAATTTAAGCTCTCAAAAACTGAAAAATGAGTAGAAAATTAATGCTACTTATAGTAGTTGACATAATTTTATGATATGATAATTGTTTAAAACAATTTTAATAAGGGTACTCATGCAGTTACTCTTCTTCCTTTTTAAAACATTTTTTTAGACTGTGGTTTTCATGAAAAATTACCAATAAAACTTTGTAAAAAAAAGATTAATTAAAAGATTAATTTTTAGTTAACTACAAAAGTTTAACATTACATTAACTGCTATACCCAGAATTATTTTCTATTCAGTTTCTCTTCAGTGTATTTTTATTCGGTTTCAGTCTTTGTATGCTTAAATTTACTTTTTATTTTTTCAGCAAAAATGTATGATTCAGTGTGTGCCAGGCACAGTAAAATTTGAAAGCTGGTCGTTGTTAGATGGTTTATTTTAAAAAGATAATTGCAAAAACCAATTTTCTCGTAATTAGAATTCCTCAGTTTCCCTTTAATAAACACCTTCCCTTCAGCTTCATCAAGTTCAGCAACAACTTTGTGGTTGGTGTTAAAGTGCCGTCTGACACTAGATGTGGGACACACAATACATTTCCCGCACAGAATGCATAGTACTTTCCTATTGTGTTCAATAACTCCAAATGATTCTGTCTTGATGTGATCTTCTATTATCAATGTTGAAGTTTGCCTTTTTTGCTGGAGCCATTTGTGAAGGTTCCCAAAATTTAAAAATGAAACATTAAATATGAATCAGTCATATACTAAAAAGAGGCTGCATTATTAACCGATAGTAAGCAATTGGATTTCCACGAATCAACAGTCTATGGCTGCAGATTCAAGTATGAACAGGGGACAGCAGTAACCGTTAACCTGGGCAACTCTTTGCTAAACTTCTAACTTTAGATTTCATATGCTCCTTTTCGGCTTTATTAGGCTTATTTTGGCTGAGCGCGTGTGTATAAGCTTGGTTTCCCCACTAAGCTTTCGTGTTTTGCTATATTATCAAATTGCATGTTTATTACTTAATTACTTATTTAAATTACATAGAGTATCATTTTATTGTGATTATTAATTAAGGAAGTAATATTTGAGTCGCGTGCAAGCTGATGAGGCTTTACGTGCCGACTGTGGGACACTTGCCATAGTTTCGCCATCACTGGTATAATTCAAAAATACAAAATATAAAAGTAAAAACATATGTATGAGAACGTATGAAACGTATGTATGAGAAAAACGTATAATGAAAACGTATATGAGAAGTTATCGCCATGCGATAATTTGCAGGTGCTTTGTTTTTTATCACGATATTTTGGCAACGATTTTTTTTAACTGCGAAGTTTTTGAATCGCTTTTTTTATGACGATGCTTTGTACGCCGATGTTTTCTCCCTGTTTCTTTTCTCCCACAATATTATGTACGACAATGTTTTCACCTTGCGATGTTTTCTCCGCGAAGTTTTCATCTGTAATGTATTTGCCGCTATGTTTTCGGCGGACACCATTATAATGCATAGTTTAATTTCATGTAGTCCGTTTGAAATTTTCATAGATACTTCAAATGATACTATAGCTTCTGATCTTCAACAAAAACCGCATTATGGTTTAATCTAAGCTCCTTCCTTACGATTTCATTTTTTGTTTAATATATTTGTATCAATATCCTTAATGACTGAGATGTTGTTATTTAGTTTTTTGCTATATGTGATTAACTGATAGCAGCAAATAATCCCACTTATTTTAGTCCTCCTTTTAATTTTTGCTTGCTCTTATTATTTTGCTTAATGGTAAAGGTTTAGATTTAAGAACCAAAATAAAGAGTTTTTATGAAAATACAAAACGCAGCCTTCTAGCTTCAAATTTTATTATTTGTACCAAACTTTACTTTTTGTCCTCAGATGATAATCGAAGAAAAATACGTAATTCTATCTAGCGCAGTCACAGCAAATACTTAATTAAATTACATTATTTAACGTTAACAGATCTTATCAAATCCATTCAATATTTAACCCTTGTTCTAATGCGTAAACAAAGGTTCTCATTCTATATTAGCTCAACTAATGTTATTCTATGATTAAATGTTTCCGTACAAAATAGCATTCACTCAATTCAGAGATTTCTTTCTTTCTTAACAAATACTTCTAACCGTTAAACAGAAGAAATAGACATTTATCCGATTTATTGTCTTTTTCATTTCCAAGACGAATTTAAAATTTCCAAAAATGGTGAAAATATATTTAGGTAAAAATGCTTCAAATCATTATGTTTGATGTTTTAATACATCAAAAAGTAAAAAAATGAAATCAAGAAAATTAGTTGCTTAAAATAAAATAATATTTAATTTCCTGATGGGCAAACATTACGCAAAGCTGTCTGAGATTAGGAATTTTTACAGAAATTTGTAAATTAAGCACTTTTACGCAAATTCGCAATAACTAATTAAACACTGCTTAAATAATTATTGATTGCAATGACACAGAATAATGTCTAACAGCACAATACTTCGCAATCATGTACACCACAGATTTCCGAAAATCAAAATGAAAATAACTGCTAGTATGCTTATTATGAATTTTTTCTTTAATAGTTCCTACAGTAGTTTCATATTTCTAATAATTTTTAAGACTAAATATGTGTATTTTTGTAATAAAAATTTAACTCAAAAAAGGCTTCTTGACAAATTATTACTTAATTATTATTAATTACTTCTTGACAAATTATTACACATGATTTCTTTCAAATGAAATTTTTTATTTTAAAGCTGATGATCATCATAAAGCGATTTTTAAACTCAATTATTTCTTTCAATAAGGAAAATCATGAGATTAAAGGTACTCATAGGTTATTTTACGCTAAACGGAAAGTTATATATCTTACAATTAAGGTTACAGATACAAAACATACATATATGATTTCTAAAAAAAATAATTGGTTTATTGTAATGGTATTTTCAACACAGATGCCCAATATCATGACACAGCCAACAATAACATAACATATAAGCACAAAGTAAATTTGGACACATATGCTGAGGAAACCAAAACCTACCAAAACATGAAACTTCATATTTCCAAGATGATTTTGCTAATAAAGAGAGTGACTACCCCCTACAGATTTACAGCCTCCCAACCGGCCTTTAGTCTGTAACTGAAGTTGTTGATGGCTTGTAATAATAAATTTCATTTTTTCTAAAATTTAGCAATTAAAACCTGGAGGGTGCTGACGTTGTTCAATGATTCTTCCTAGAATAACCGAATCATACTTTTTAGGATTTAGGTCTGATGAGTTATTTGAGTTCTTTGTGGCCTTCCTCTGTTATCCACAAAAATGAAATCCTGTCGAACAATTTTACAAGAATTCCTTACATAAGATTCAAGAATCACATTCCTCTAACGCTCAGTTTTTGTGGTAAGTGGTCAGCGTTTTTACATGGAAGGGACGCTAGCAGGTTTGGGGCTTTCTCCGGATAAACACTCACCGATAAACACTCTATGTGTTAAATTTCGCTTTGTCATAAAAGTACATAGCTCCATACTTGCTGTACGGATTCTAAGAATGGTATGCGTGCCTTCATAAGAGACGGGTCTTACTTCTACGATCTAATGAGGATGGCACATATCGCTAGTCACTGACGGCCTTCTCTGCTAAGGTCTCTGCAGTTTATATACTAGAACTTACGACTGCGTCTGAAACTGTTGTTCCAGACGCAGCGAAGTTCTAAGACAGCTCTCTAACCATCATTTCTGTATAACGTAATGCATCTAATGCTATGTATTAATACTGCACAACTGTCGTAGCTCTCTGACTGGGTTCCTTAGTTATGATACCCGTAGTCTGGAATTTATGTCATAATTTAATATCACTATTCGAGATATTCCTAACCATTGAAAGACCTCTGCTATAAACTGGCCCTTCTAAAACTTACCGATGTCATCCACCAGGTCATCGTCTGAAAGATTGCGAGAACTCATTTTAGTTGAAATATGTCTGTATTATGACTTTTCTTAAAATAATCGCAATTATGTATATCAATTTCAAAGATTTGAAACTAGTCACTTTCACGTTTTCATAGGAAACGTATGCTTGAAACCTTTG